ATAACGCAACACCTTCATCCCAACCGATGCCCATTCTGCTGCATGCCGGAAGAAACCAAAGCATGGTCAATACGAGCCCAAGTGTTTGCTGCAGCGCAAGGATTATTCCTGCTACTAGCAACCCGCGAGTTCCTATTATTAGCGACCTGCGAGTTTAGTGCAAAAACGCGTGGTCGCACCGGCAAGCCTGGTGCATTCCAGCCTGGGCTTTTGTATAATTTCGAATTTCCCATTTTGGTATCCTTTCACGTGACTGTCCGGACAATTCGGTATAGGCTTATCGGAGACTAGAAGGTTGATATTGTGTAGCAAAATCAGCATCTGCATGTAGTTTAACAGCCAAAAAGCAGCATTCGGGCCAATTTATTTTCTGGCTTAAGATCTCATTTCCATATTTTTCCTGTGCAAAACTAAATAATTCAAAGTGAGAGTTTTTGGCCTAGTGTTTTTCTGCTACAATCTTTTCTTACGACTTGAGTTACTGCAGAGCAAGCCGCGAACTCAAAATTCGGATGGCTTACTGCTATACATGTTGAAAGCACTTTCACCCACTTTGTATCCTCTTTACTTTTTAAAAACGCGTGACTAGTCCAATCCTCTATTGCAGATTGCAAAATGCTTTATTTTGGAACAAGCACTAACGCAGAATGCAGTTGCTTTTTGGTAAACATCGCAATGTATCTCCGCAAATTTTTCTAATTTTCTTTCAAATGTGGCAAAATTGTGTTTTTTTTCCAGTGAAATGGAAGTTCGAAACAGTGATCAGCTTCTGTCTCGGTTTTCACAAAATACTGCTGAGAAACCTCACAACTATCCAAGCCACAGCAAGGATTTTGAGGGAAATTTCGGCTTACCATTAATTCCGAATGACTTACCACCACCAGTTCCAATAGTTAACGGTAATGCTGCTGATTTTATGGATTTTAAGAGGCAGCATGCAACTGATTTAGCTTTCGTAGATAAACCATACGATGCTGAAGCGGTTCGACAAGCTTGCAGCTCATTGTATTATCGCTCGACAACGCCGAAAACCGTACTGAAAAACGCTTCACCAGAGAAAACTCCGAAGGTCAGAGATTACTCCAAACTGGAGTCTGACCGCGCTCCAATAATTTTTACGCCAAAAATAATATCTGCTTTTGAGCAGGATACTAACAAAAACAGGAGAGCTGGACTCAATGAAAAAAATGCAAAATTCTCAACTGATGAAACTAATCCGTCGGCGGAAGCTGTCCAACATAGACTAAAAAGCATGACTGTCGAAGACTCGGAGCCTGGTTGGCTGCAGAAGCAGGCTGCAGAATTTGGAGATGTTACCGGAAATCGAGCAAATTTCATTGCATCCGAAGAAAAAGAGGTTAAGCATGAACAGTCTGATGCTAGGAAGACCTTCGATACAGCATTGCCGCCAAAGTCCGGAAGTAATGTAGCAAAGCCCATATTATGCACTTCATCAGCATCGTCGTCTCGAAGAAGCAGCTTGAAGAAAAAAGTCCGATTTCCACCGGAGCAGCCAAAAGTGATCGTAGCAGGCCATCGACTTCTGATTTGCGATCCTGCGGTCGAGTGAATTTCTTTTGAATTTCATGAAAATGGCAATAGCTTTCAGAATTTTCGATAAAAGTGATGTAGCTCGTATTTAAGCGATACATGAGGCTCCTCAAGCCTAAAATAGTCATCTGGTTTCTGCAGCACCAAAATGACATTTTTCGCTTCCCTTGTTATCACTTTATAAACCGACTTGAAAATTAAGTATTTTTTGACATTTTTCGTGTTAGTTTAGGGCATCTTGGCAGATCGAGAAAATGCGCTCAGACTGCCTCTGTATCATTCTTTTTAATTCGTCGTCAGCTGTTACTGATCTTTTGATCGCAAAAAATTGCATTTATTTTAAATTTTTGACAATAAAATTTTTTTGAAACGTTCGCCGGCATTTTGTTAATATTTCTGATATATGACTGAAAGGATCATGAGTCCGAATGATGGTGGCATCATTGATATTGCTTCAACGAAGGTCCACCCAAATGAAAAATACAAGACTTTTTTAGAAAGTTAATTCGTTTTAAAGCCGAAAAATCAAGATTAAAGCCGTTCACCAATCTGACTCATCAAAGAAGCATACAGATGCTTGCTGATGGCCGTAGCAGTGCTGCAGCAACGCAGTTAGGATTCTGTCAAATAGTGATTGTAAGTGATTTAAAAAAAAAATTTCTGTAGACCTACATGTGGTAGAGGATGACACTATCTTTATGCGTTTTTGCATATATGCAAATTGCAAAAATACGTATTGGCAAGGAACTGTCTGTTTTTGTGTGTATGTGTCTGTGCGTTCGCATTGTTCGTTCAACTCGAGAACCAAGAAAGCTATGGAGTTGAAACTTTTGGAGTATGTGCGTACCACATATGTGACCCTCTCTTTCGAATATTATCATTCTCGTACACCTCGGACCC